AGAGAGAGAGAGAGAGAGAGAGAGAGAGAGAGAGAGAGAGAGAAAGTAGGTGTGTATATCTGTCTTTGTCAGTGTCTGCCTCTGTCTCTGTCTCTGCCTGCCTGTCTTTGAGGTAAGTCTGTCACTTTCTTTCTTACTTTCTTTCTTTCTTTCTTTCTTCCTTTCTTTTTGTCTTTCTTTCTTTCTTTCTTTCTCTAGCTCTCTCCCTCCCTCCCTCTCTCTCTCTCTCTCTCTCTCTCTCTCTCTCTCTCTCTCTCTCTCCCCCCCCTCTCTCTCTCTCTTTTATTCTCTCATCCCCCTCTCTTTCATTTCTGTCTCTCGCATTGTGCTTCAAGTATTTGCTTTAGCCAACCACGCCCTCTCCTTCTATTCATTATTATTACTTAAAAAGCAGGGTTTTTTTCGTTATCTCATTACACGCCCACTTTCTCCTAAAATTACAATAAAATACGTTTTGACTCAAAGTAGTTTAATAATGCATAGAGAACCCAATACAACTCTAGGAAATAGAGAAAGACAAATCAATTCATGAACAAAAGACATAAATATAGAAACATAATCAAATTATATAGAAAACAAAGCACATATTGTTTGAAAAATTAATAATTAATTCTGATTGAATTAATTGATACTGAATTAACAAGAATTAACAATTGTTTCATTCATTAAATTATATGACATGTACTCTATTCTGTCGTTCCGACGGATTTTGTTTGCCCCATCCACCATCAGAGCGAGACTCAGCGAAGAAAAACAACGTGTACCGCGTACTGCTGGCTGTCTGGATTCTCCTCGGCCTCTCCTGGGTGGCTCTGATCCTGAGTGAGCTGGGCACGTTCATGCAGGTACGACTCACTCTGATTTGTGCACCCTGTGTGTATCGGTGGTATCTGTGTGTATCGCAGATATTACTTTATACACTCGGGCACATACGCAAACGTGCTATCACATGTACTCGCACCTTCTCCCCTCCCCATCCCCCTTACACACACATAAAAGAGGGAAAGAGAGAGAGATCAAGAGAGAGAGAGCGAGAGATCGAGAAAGAGAGCGAGAGAGAGAGAGCGGGAGAGAGAGAGAGCGGGAGAGACAGAGGGGGTGGGGGGAACAAAAAGAGAGAAAGAGGAAGAAAGAGAGAAAAGTAGAGAGACGGAGAGACAGAGAGAGACAGAGACAAAGAGGTATGGATACTTGCAAAAGCATACACGCACGAATACTCTTCAGAAAATAATGTTGAAGGCATTCACATTTATTATCTACTTTTGTTTTCTTGTTTCTGTAAAGTGTTTTACGGCGCTCGCAACTGCATAAGGTCATATGAGCGCGCGGGACACACCTAATATTTTCAGTTGGTAGGACATTTTGAGTTTTGCCTGGGTGGCGGCCGAAGCCTACTCTCATCGATTTTAGACCATTAAGGGATCTTTAACGTGCGCAACTTGCACATGGGCCCTCCGAGATTTTTCGCCCTTGTCCGAGAAGGCTAGGTGTAGATCTTTCCTACCAGAAGATCAGGGGTGTGGCAGAAAGACAGCAGTAAGGAGGAGCCAAGGAGTAGCAGTAGAAAGGCTGCAGAAAGAGTCTGGAGCCCAGAGGAGGGGGCAAAGGAGGTGAGGGGGTGGGGGCAGAAAGTGGAATTGAAAGCAGACAACCGATCATTACTAGAGAGCAGGAAATGAGGTGAAAGGAGACAAATTTAGAGAACAAAATTTTTTGGTCGCTACCCGGATTCGAACCCGGGACCTTTGAATGAGAGGCCAACACCTTAACCACTAGGCCACGAGAGCCCCCCATTATCTACTTTTGAGCACTTCTCTCATTTAACTCTTGACAGACAGATATACCCTGAGCCTTTTGCACCCGTTTCTTCCCCCCCCCCGCTCTCTCAATCCCCCCCCCCCTCTCTCTCTCTCTCTCTCTCTCTCTCTCTCTCTCTCTCTCTCTCTCTCCCCTCTCTCTCTCTCTCTCTCTTTCTCTCTCAAATAATAAAAACATAAACAACAGAACTGACCAACCACTTTGAAAAGAGTGGGGGTATACATAGGGAAGGACAAGCGCACATACTATTATAA